GTTGATTCGAGTGAGACCCTTGTTTGCTGGATGTTGCGTTTGCCGCTGTCGCGACTTTGGTGCAGCGATTTCGTTGGCTGCACTCCCGCATCAGGGTGATTCTCCTAGACGCGTCCTCTTGGTGTTTTTGTGGTCTTTTGTTACTCTAATTTCATGACAGCCCTCTCATCTTCAACTGAACCTACTCCGATCTCGCGCAAACCCTCCTACACTGCAATGGTTGATAAAGGCAGTGCTCCTTCACACCTTCGGGATAGTTTGGTTTTTCCGCATATATATCATGATTCATTTGTGAGATTCTAACTTCATAAACAAAAATCAGGAAAAAAGGGGGGCAAACCAGCATTAATTTTTTTCTAACACTGAAATTTCAACACTTGTTGAAAATCATAAATTTAAACTGATTGGAAAGTTCCAATTGAGCCACCATAAGATGGAGACTATCACAAAAGTTTTTGAAGATTTTAAACTAGTTGGGGATTAGAAGGTGAGACTATTTGATGGAAAACATGTTATGATATAGGTGAGCAAAGATTTGATGAAAGGGAGAAAGGAAAAACCTCCCATCATGATTGATCTCTTCTACTCTTGCTCGGTGCTAAGCTATGATTTCACGATGTCTAATTTTTGGGGTATACATGTAAGATGTTTGGCCACACACATGATAAATGCTTCAGATTACACCTAAAGTTGAAACCCATTATTCCAATACAGTCAGATATAAATGTCTATGGTTGAACAACATGCACAAGAACAATCTATTCCTAAACATGATATTTCTGACTGTGCTACCCAAGAGGCATTTTTAGATACTGCAACTTTATTGGAACTTGTTACTAATGTTAACCAGATGGATGAGCTGTTTGTTGTCCCCACTCCTAATAATGGAAACAATCCTACACAGTCTGATACTACTCCCAGTAAACCTGATGAAAACACACCTCTAAGCAAGCCTCCTGAGACTCCCTCTCAATAGGTTGTTGTTGGGGAAGGTACTCATATATTTGAAGTATGCTTTGATCAAAGTGATTTATTCACTGCAAAAAATGATCAGCTTGAACACCAAGTGGAAGATGAATTGCAGGTTAAAAAATATAAGAGGAAGAAAAATGCAATGCTTCAACTCCATAATCCCTAGGATGACAACTTGATTGTCTTAGGTGGAAGCCCCTTTCACAGTTTGTTGCTGGAATCCATTCCTAAAACCAGGGGGAGGGGGAAAGGAAAAACCTCCCATCATGATTGATCTCCTCTAATGTTGCTCGGTGCTGAGCTATGATTTCACGATGTCTAATTTTTGGGGTATACATGTATATTTTGGGTATCTTTTTTTGAGTCTTGTATGCCTTGTGAGTGGGTTTCTAGCGCCCGCTCACTAAAAACTTTGTATCGACTTTCTATCAATGAATTTTTTTACTTTAGCTATATATATATATATATATATATATATATGGCTTCGCCAGCGGAGGGGGCTATGCTAGGGTTTCGTTCGATGCCGATTCCCTGCAGTGATTTCTCGTTTTCTCACTTTCTCTCTGTCGTCTTTCGCAACCACGTTTTCACTCCCTCGCAACTTTTTCGACGACGCTTGGCCGCATACGTCTTTATTGTTGATGCTCGCTCGCATCATCTCTGTACTCGACGACGTCATCCACAATTGACAACGCTTGCCCTCACGCAGTCGTGACTCGCGTCGTCTCTGTACTCGACGACGTCATCTGCAATCTACAACGCCTGCCCTCACACCGTTGTGACTCGCGTCGTCTCTACTCGGCGACGTCTTACCCGCAGTCGATGACACTCGCCCTCGTTATTGCTCGTTGTCGTCTCCCATAGTCGACGTCGTCTCCTGCCGACGACGTTTGATTCCCATAGAAGATGACCCTTCTCGTAGTCATCCTCTCTAGCCGACGACACTTCTCTCCTTCGCAGTCGTCTCCTTCCAGACGACACGATTGTTGCTCTTCTGTCCGATAGACACCATCTTATTGGTGGAGATGGCATCGACGATCCGTTCCCATGCCACTGCACTTGCCGACCACTTTTCTATTCTTGCTCGGCGCTTTTTCTCGCAGTCGTCTCCCGTAGCCGATGACATATTTTCTTGCGGTTGTCTCCTCGGTCGCTTCAGACGAACTGAGCCTGACAACGCCTGAAGTTTGCTCGCTTCTTTGCAGCCCACCAAACTGTTTCTCTCCTGATCGTGACGATCTTGTCAGGGAGATGGCCTCGACGTTCCATTCCTATGCAAATGCCCTTGCCAGTGATATGCCCATTTTTGCTCGTGCCCCTCTAGGTTATGAGCCTGTTTTTGCTATCGGTAAGTCCTACAATGTTTCACAATCGTTCTACGAGGCTCTTGAATGTGGAGGTGATCACACTTTTTTTAAAAAGCTTGGAAAAAAATGGGAAGTCTGCACTTATTCTCACAGAAGATGAAACCGGTACTCTCGCTTCCTCTCGACATTTTGCCCTTGTGGGGAAATTTCTTTTTGGTCACCCAAAACTGGAGATCATTAGAAAGGAGTTTGATGCTATGAAACTATTGGACAGTTGACACCTTGGCCTACTTAACGGTCGACATATACTTATTCAATTATCTCACAGTACCGATTACACCCGCATTTTCTCTCGAAAAGCTATCAAGATCAATAATCGTTTTATGAAAATTCTGAAGTAGACTTTCAGTTTTTAGCCAAAAGCGGAGTCCCCTATCATTCCAGTTTGGATAAAGTTTTCAGGGTTAAAATTACATCTGTTCAACATGAACATCATTTACTATTTAGCAACTGCTTACGATAAGTCTCTCAAGGTGGATAGTCATGCGCTTGCTGTCACCAGACCTTCTGTTGCTTGTGTATTAGTGGAGAGAGATATCACTCAACCAACTCTAGATGAGATATGGATTGATACTATTCACAACGGGTATTGACAAAATGTTGAAATAGAACCACATCCTCCTTGTTGCTCTCGTTGTAGTATGTTTGGCCACAGTTTTAATATTTGTTATCGCTTGCATCCTATCTAAGGTCAAATATCGCTAAAAATCAGTCATCTACCATTCTTGCTGAGAAGGTGCAATCCGATCATCTTTCCAACATCGCAGTTCCTGATGAAGAATAATTTATTACAGGTACAGATTCAAATGTGCTGATACCACTCACCGTTATTAAAGAAGTCTCACTTACATGCCAAGGCACACGAGAGTGCTCTTTTGACCCGAAAGAAGATCAACTGGTACAACAAGTAGTTGTCTCTAATGTTCAACGACCTACACATATTCTGCACACTTCAGACCATTCTGCTGATCAGGTGAGTCAATCCTCAGATGAAGAAAGACAAGTTTACACGAGGAGGAAGAAGAAGAACGGAGGATGATTTGAGCTAGGGAATCTATTGGAAGATATATTAGTTACTACTGGCAATGTCACTCATTTGACCAATTTATTAGTTGGCTCCTTCCCTAGAAATAGAGGCAGAGACAAGACAAAATTGTGTCGCTCTCCAGCTGCCTAATACTACTATTTTGGCACTTTTTAGCTTTTTTTTTTTTAGATCTCTTATGTATTAGCTTTATTTTCTCATTTTTTTTAACTATTTGATATGGTGGTTTTTGTGTGGGATGGGTGTCATTTTTTGGATCTCTCACAAAATCTATCTGTACCCTACTTTTTACACAAAATCTATATGTACCCTACTTTTTATTTATTTATTTATAGAAATAGCAATTTTTGGCTCCTTACGCGTTAATATCAAAAGAATGATTACAAAGGTTTAGTGGGAAAACTGGATCCCCGCTAAAAAACAAAATAACACATAAAGTTCTAGGGGTTCCATTTTGCACAGTACAACTCCACCCAAGAAAATAAAAGAACATAAAGGAGATTAAAGCTAACCTAAATATACATGTATCAAACCAAAACGTATACCCACAGAAATGACATATACTCTCTATGAACATGTATATCAAAAGAAACGAAAAAACAAGAATCTGTACTGTATGGCAAACAGCAACATCTCGCAACATCTCGAAAGCAGGAAGCCGCAGCCTGACCAAAGAATCTGCACCCTGCAACTGAAAAAGAACTGAGGAAACAGTAGAGAAATAGAACTTCCAAGTGTTAAGAAAGGAAAAGATGATCCTCATTCCTCCAACCTCCCAATTAGCAAAGCCAGTCCAAACGGACCTAATAAAACCACCTCAACCACCTGAAGTATGAAGAGAGAGAGAACAGATAGAAATTGGAGCCATGGGCCTCCAAATAGGAAATAACATGGTCACAAATAATACCCAGATGAAAAGGAGCAACTCTTCAAGCCTCCAACCTCCCGGCCTCTTATCTTTAGCAAAGGAGCCCTGGGCCTCCATGCTAAAAATAAGGCAGCCAACAAAAGCAAAACCACCCAGCACAATATATAATTTAACTATTCAATTTTTCTAATAAATTTTTTATGATTGTGACCATACAATAGTAAACATTATGCAACTTGAATAATACTGATCTTTTATGTGGTGAACTAGTTTGAAGTTGCTAATAGCGCTAAGCAGGTCTTGAATAGCATTCTCATATTATGGTTTGGAAAACCCAAAATGGAGTTTTTGAGGCATTTTTCTCACGCAATTCAAGTTGTTTGATATAGTGGAGATAAATCTCATGTTGGATTTAATACAGTATCAAGTCTAGCAGAGAGTGTTGGATATATAGTGTTATTGCAGACTTTTACAGGATCAGAGTTTTTGAACCATAAGGATAAGTACACCTCAGTCATTTTGTATTTGTTAATATGCTTAAATTGTATTCAATCGTCAGCTGTCTTGACTCTCTTTTTTTGTTTACACATGTATTTGTATTTTGAAACTAGGATGGTTTTTCTTTTTTTAATTATTAAATACTATATGCAAATGTTGGTATAATTTTCTTCATATTTTTGTATTTTCACTAATGAATTGTCTTATCTAAATCTTGATGTTATTTATTAAATTTAACGTACTTTTCTAGACACGGAATGAAACTCCTGAGCTGGCTCGTGGTGCTGCAAAAGCTGTAGTTGATCTATATGAAGTTGTCACTCGTGATTTCTTGACACCAAACCTTAGGTACCGAAAACCTTAGTTTCTAAATGTTGTCTGTTAGTCAATCGGAGTTTCCTTTCTCAAGTTAGTTTTCTTTTATTGGCAAAGCTGACTGAATAGTTTCACTTTCTCAGCGAGTTTTTTGATACATGGAATATTTTAGCAAAAGCAAGGCATGAGGGAAGGCTTTTCTCTAGAATACTGTGGCCCACTAATCCAGAACTTGTATGCATTTTTCTAAGTTTTCCTTTGGCCAACTTACTTTTATAAGTATGACTTGCTTTGCTGTTCTTTCTTGCAGAAGGAGCAGATTAAACGCTTACATCTACTTTTAACTGTTAAAGATACTGCGGCCAATATTCCGAAAAATCTAGAAGCGAGAAGAAGGCTTGAATTCTTTACGAATTCTTTATTCATGAAAATTCCTCCAGCGAAGTCTGTTTCTGAGATGATGCCTTTTAGGTGCTCGAATAATACATATTCTGTTTTAGAGTTTTTCCCCTTTAAAATTATGTTGCACCTAACTTATTGTTTTTTATTTCTAAATTATTTTATATCAACAAATTATTGAGTTTAGGATTTAAAGGAAACTGATGGTCTTCTTTTTCAAATAGTGTTTTCACTCCATACTATAGTGAGACTGTGCTGTACAGTTTGTCTGATCTGAGAGTAGAAAATGAGGATGGAATTTCTATTCTTTTCTATCTTCAGAAAATTTTTCCAGGTACATCTTTCTATACGTTTTTCAATTTCTGAATCATTGTTCCTTTTTTATTTAGTTTTAATATACTTGTACTATTACTCTGCTCTCAAGTAATTTTAATGCTGTATATCAGAAAAATTCCTTGATGCTTTTAATCATCAGATTTGGACACTATTACGTGGCTGTCATTTATAGGCGAGGATTGTGCTGCTCTTGAACTTCTATTATGGGATGTATTAAGGAAATATGCTTAGGTAGCTTCATATTGGTCTTACAATCTTGTGGTAAGATTGTGGAGACCTCTTCTGAATGCCAGAATGAAAAGAGCTGGGCTCATCTGTTGCAACCATTATCTTTTGTTCCAGTATAACTTCTTATTGATTTTTCTTTTCTTTCGTTTTCTCATTTTAGTTGGGTTTTTTTGGTTATTATTTTTCCATTTTTTCCTGCTTTTTCTTTTATTCGTTTCGTTGGTTTATCTTCCAATGTTGTCTTAATAACGTCTTCAGTTAATCTTAACGCAATATATGGTATATTTGTATGGTTTCAACCAAATTTTCTTTTCTGTTAATGCAACGATGACGAATCGACTCATTAAATTGTCTCCTTACCTTTTAATTTAGTGATTTTGACTAATAAAATTTATTGTAATCTTGTAGTTAGGTGATTAGTAAGAAAGCTTTAGGTCATCTATGTTGACCAAGTAAAGTTTTAGTCTTCAGTTATTGGAAATGTACAATTATTTTCCTTGGCTTTAGGTACTAAATATTTTCTCATCTCAGATTTTGAAGGAGACCCACCTTGGCAGTATGGGAAGTGAATGAACTATACTCCCGCATACTAGATACGGTTACGAAGTGAAGGCTAAAGTGAATCACTTCTGCATCATAAAGAAATAAATTTTCAAAGATACAAAATGAAAAGAGATTTGAAATATGATTTTTATTTGTTCAATAATATTACTAGCATGCTGTCTTCTTCACAACTATAACACACTGAATAAATGAAATAAATGGTGTTAAGTTTCAAAAACTACTTTTTGAACTAAAGTAACAGCCATGTTGGCATTGTCTAACTATCTGAAATGAATGCTATCATTGGATATTTAAGTTGTCATAACTTGTTTAGTATTTATGATTGATCTTATGTTTTTTTTTTCCTCTTTTTTATTTAAGTATTTCAGAAGAACAAGTGTGAAATAAGAAAACAAATACGTTATTTTAATTCATGCTAGAATATGAGCACGGCCAACTTCAACAAAACAATTTTAAAAAAATATATGATTCGAAGGAACCTTTAAAATAACTATGTTCATCCGCGCCATGATTATTTGTAATGCTATATTTCATGAAAGTCCCTTCATCATCTTTTTCTTATATTTTTTGGTCTCTTAGTATCCTGACTTGAATGATGGTCTTGATCAACCAAACAAAGTCTATTAGTCCCTCTCAAGAGAGATGTGACTGCTAGGACTATTGACCGCTCTCGGCAAAACAAAGCAAAGGTCAAAATGAAGCAGCGTTCTAAGAAGGGTTCCATGTGCATAATCAATTTGATTTATCAGAGAATTTTGGGAAAGGAAACTATAGAATAAATTGGACTTTTGGTAGTGTATGACTGTTATACTTTTTTTGTAATTTATTTGCATTGAAGATGGATTTATATATAAGAATATGTTAAATTTGATAAATATTGTCTTTAATGTTACTTTCATTTTGCCAGTACTTATCTTTTTCAGTTTTTGTAGAAGTAACCTTTCTACCGATGAACTCTAAATGCCTATCTTGTGTTATTTATGAATAGTAAACATTCACTTTGATGCATTAGTCCAAGTTCAGATTCACTTTCTTTTCTCTAGTTGCTTGTGCCATAAGCAGTTGTTTTTGCTTCTGACGCTGGTGCATGTTCTGGTTGTTGGTTGCTTATAGCCATACTGCAAAATAATTGATCTGTGTAAACTTTTTGTTGCAGATGAATGGGAGAATTTTCTCGAACGGATTGGCCGTGGTGAATCAACTGCTGAGTCTCTACAAGATAGCTCAAGCGATACATTAGAACTGCGGTTTTGGGCCTCTTATCGGGGCCAGACATTGGCAAGAACAGGTTATAAGCTTGTCCATTTCTTCTGCTCTTTCTGTCTCTTCCTCTTAATCTCCTTTCCCTTCTCCTTCTGCTTGTCTATTTTTCTTTTGTCACGTTGTTGCTATTTCCTTTTGTTAAGAGACTGCAATCTCTCATGTTTATAATCATGGCCACGCATGCTTTTCTATATTACCTTGACTATAGTTGGATCAGACATTCATTTTTTGTTTAAATTATGCTTCTTTAATTTTTCCATCCTCATTGGTCTTGAACAGGAAAGTAATTTACACAAATTACGTTAGTTGGGTACATTGTGTGAATGATTTGCTCATGATTGTTTTTGTGATGTTTGCTGCAAGTGTAAATCTTTCATCCATCAGGTTTCTTGGGCAGGTTCACATTTGTTTGATCTTGTTCGACTGTAATTTTATGAATATTGATCAGATGTTATTGATAATTAGAATTCAGTTAATTTTCTTCCTTGTAGCTCTTATATAACTGGTCCTTTTCTCTTTCTTCTTTCATACTGATGCAGTACGTGGTATGATGTACTATAGAAGAGCTCTTATGCTCCAAAGCTACATAGAGAGAAGAAGTTATGCGGGTAATGTAATAAGCTGGCTTTGCTCTTTTTTCTTATTTGCCATCTTTCTGCTGAATTTGTTCTTATCCACATAAATTGCAGGGCTCGAAGAGGGATATTCTGGAGCTGATTTTATTAATACCCAAGGATTTGAATTTTCTTCTGAATCGCGTGCCCAAGCTGACATAAAATTTACTTATGTTGTCTCATGTCAAATTTATGGGCAGCAGAAACAGAAGAAAGCACCAGAGGCAGCAGATATCGCTCTACTTATGCAAAGGTCTGACATATTCTACGACATACTTCTGCTTCTTTCCCTTTACATTATTACTCATGTAGATTCCATGCACTTTACTTTGTGTGTTCATGTAGGCACTGCATCTGAATTTTTTTTTTTAATATTTTTTTATACTTGTATGATTTGTCCTTTCCTTGTTGTCATCTTGATTAATTTTATCTATTGTTTTCATTATTTCTTGTCATTTTTTGTAGTTAGTTTTTATATTTGACTTTTTGTTTAATTCATTATTGGTTGTTGTGTCCCCGAAAACACACACACATAAAGTAATATAATCTTAGAAGCGGTTTCCTAAATTTTCAATTTCCTACAATTTACAATAAAAGAATCTATCCGTAAAAGGTTGGTGTAGCTCCAGTTACAGACAAGATTATAGAGAGTCATCTTTAGATGATTTGGTCACATTTTGGTGATCCGGTTGGAAGAGTAGATGTTTTAAATTTTGATTTACGTTAAGAAAGGTAGAGCTAGACTTAAGAAGACTAGGTATGTTGTATAAAAATTTATCATAATTTATTAAAAATTAAATGAAAATGTGATACTCGATGGGACACAATGGAGAAAAAGGATTCATATAGCCGACCCCACTTAGTGGGATAAAGGCTTGTTGTTGAAGTAGCTAATCTCTGCTTTGGTTTCGCTCATATTTTAGATTTTTGAATTTTTTTTAAATCAAATTTGTGGCCACGTTTATTTTGATCATCAATTTATATTCTAATATCTTTTGAAATTTCTGGCTTCTCTTGCTCTATAATCTTTAGAAATGAAGCACTCCGAGTTGCTTTCATTCATGTTGAGGACATTTCATCATCTGATGTTATAGTTAAGGAATACTATTCAAAGCTCGTAAAGGCTGATGTCCATGGAAGGGATCAGGTACACGTGATTGCTTTCTTGATCATTTAGAATAAGTGAATTTCGTATGTCCTTGGTCTTCTTAATTGTATACATTCATCCCTATGTATATAAAGAGATGAGACGCTGTCTATTACATTTGTAATTTTAATTTGTCCTTGTATCATGGCTCATTTTTGCTCAGGAAATATATTCCATTAGACTTCCTGGAGATCCCAAGCTTGGAGAAGGGAAGCCTGAAAATCAAAATCATGCCATAATTTTTACCCGTGGTGATGCTGTCCAAACTATTGATATGAATCAGGTGAGCCTCTTTATGTTGGCCAAAATCTTCCATAGTTTATTCTCATTTTATCATTTTTTAAGCTTATTATATTTAAAATATGGTTCATTTTTATTGAATTTCTTAATGAAAAAAAAAATTAAGAATAACTGCTAGTAGTGTTAACCACTTGTAATTATTTTTTTATTCTATTAGAGCACAGCTATGCTCATATATAGCTTATGCGACATTGCATTAGAGTGCAATTTAAAAAGAAGATAAATTAATAAAAAAGAATAATTTAACTAAATCACTACTGTCATCTTACAAGCTTTTGTTGTACTACCGTAAAGATAAAATAGAGAAATAAGAATGAACCAAAAAGGAAGAAAAAAATATGTACACAATGTGAAAATAAAAAATAAAAATAAAATCCCAAATTACAAGAAAATCTCACGTCTCGCGTTTTTGCAATCGCATGAATTTTAGCTCGTGGAAGAGGGATCTTGAAATCTGGTGTTGATCTCATTTTCAGTGAGTCTTAGTTTTCTACTCCTAGAACCCAAAATCTAGCCTTAGGAGTTCTTATTGACCATCATAGCGGACTAGCAATAGAGCTCACCTCCCGTAGAACTTCAAACCACTTATTGACTCATTTTTGGGGAGAATAAATGAGTTGACGAAAACCAAACCGGGAGGAGTGGAAGCGAGGAGATAACTTTGCTTATAAAATTTCACAACCGAGGCAATTTAGTTACTTAAGAGTCTAACGACACAGGAGACGTCAAGCCTAAGTAAGGGTTTTCGTCTAGCCGTCAACGAGGAAGTTTAAGGAAGTTGCGGTGTTGGATTTTGAAGGGTTCAGAGCATAGGGAGAAATGCCAAACTGTTCAATTGGAGAAGAAGGCGACACCGACCAAATTGGAGGAAGTAACTGAAGGAAGAGCCGTGCCAGAACAATCTCTCTTGTGTCGAGGAAACATCGCGTGCTATTTTATAACAGTAGTTTTATTTATTTATTTAAGAGATGTAATAAATATATTTCTATATATATATATATATAAGAATGGGACCGGGCTTGAGGTCCCCAACCCACCCTAATGAGCTCAAACCCCGCTAGATTTGGGGGCGGCCTGGTATATTAAGAATTCGAATACGAGAGATTTGAACATGTGATTTAAGGAACTTACGACTTTCAGAGAGGCTGCTCTAGTATAACTAGATAGATAAGATGGCGGCAGGAAAGCTCGATCGTATGCTAGCGTGACCGCGGATGGTGTTCCAAACTTCCCTTCTTCTTTCTACGACTCTCTCGCTCTCGGTTCTGAGAACTTTTTTGTTCGACGACCGGGCCGTAAGGGAGGAAAGCTTGCTCTGTTTCTTACTGACGCTGAAAATGGTGATCTAGCTTCTTCCTGTAAGCTTCATCTTGTTGGAAAATTTTTGTATGGCCATCAAAAGATGGAATTTCTCTATAAACATTTCAAACTTATGAGGCTTGCGGGAGAATGGAAGATAGGTCCTCTTGATGACAGACATATTTTAATTCAACTCTCCAATGAGGAGGATTATACGCACCTCTTTGCGAAGAGAGTGATTTGGTTCGAAGATTACGGGATGAAGGTTTTGAAATGGTCAACTAACTTTGATCCTAAGGCTAAGGCTCCGATAATCCCCGTATGGCTTCATCTCTCGGGATTAAAGGTGCATCTTTTTAATCATGAAAATTTATTTTCTTTGGCTGTCATGTTCGGGAGGCCTTTGAAGTTGGATGCTCCCACATATAATCTTACGCGGCCGGCTATGGCTCGTGTTCTAATTGAAAGAGATGTCACTTTACCCCTTCCGGAGGAGGTATGGATCGGTTCGGCACATAACGGGTACTGACAACAAGTTTTATTAGAAAATCACCCCCCCCCTATTGCACACACTGTTATATGTTTGGCCACAATCAGGAACAATGTTTCAAGATGCACCCTGAACTTAGAAAACGAGAGGACACACGTCCCCCGCGTGTCATGTCTGTTGTTGTACCTCCTGCGGATGATATTACAGATGGGCTTACTATTGATGTGCCTCAACCCACTGTCAATGTCTCTGGCCCTCCTGTGGGTATTCCTGATGGTTTACAATTTGATGGAGACACTGCCCCCCTTCTCCCCTCCTGCTAATCTGAATGCTGTTAGAAATATTAATCCTACTAATCTTATTTCTTCAAATGAATTGGTTCAGGTGGCTAATATGGGGCGGGTGATGCCTGCTCTACCTAATTTGGACCCGCCTGTTAATCCCTTGATTGAGGAGGCTCGCCCTTCCTCGGCTTCCTTGCCTGATGCTATTAATATGGGTAATATCTCCACATTTTCTCATCAATATGATGCTCTCTCCGACACTCCTTTAGAAGATGTTTCAAAAATTCTTAGAGATGAATGGCATGTACAAAAATATAGTAGGCGTAAGTTTAGAGGTCAAACGAAAACACCTTTTCTTGCGAGTGGAAACAACTTGTCGAACACAAATCAGTATTATTCGGATGGTGAAAATGGACGGTCCCGAACTAGATCTTCTAGGAAGGGACATGTGTCTACCCATGTTTAATATCCTGATTTAGAATATTAGGGGAGTTGCGGATCCTCACTTTCTTGGTAGACTCAAATTAATGACAAAGATTCATAACATTGATATTTTTGCTATTTTAGAACCTATGGTCACCTCTGTGGATGACCGTATCTTGGGCAAATTTAAGAATTTCTCGTACTTTTCCAATTGTTCTAACAAAATTTGGCTTTTCTTGCGGAAGCATATTACGATGTACATCACCGTTGATGATAGATAGTTTGTGCACACTTTCTTTAATATAGATGTTTTTTCGGGTCACCTTACTTTTGTCTACGCTGGAACCTCTAACGTGGCTAGATTCGATCTCTGGCACAAAATTTCTGAGATGGGTAAGAATATTCATCAGAACTGGATGGTTGGAGGGGATTTTAACATAGTTATGCATGAGTTTGAAAAGTTTGGTGGTAGGAGTGTTGATACCACTTTAACTAATAAATTCATTGACTATATGAACAGTGCCGACATTACTGATTTTGGTTTCGTCAGCTCTAAGTTCACTTGGAAAAGAGGTAAGCTTATTGAAAGACTTGATAGATGTTTTGCTAATCAAGTTTGACTTTCCTCCTATGATTTTTTGCAGGTCCAACATCTAAGCAGATCTGGTTCTGACCATTCCCCCATTCTTCTTTCCTTTGATTATTTTAAAAAGATTTCTACTTATCATTTTCGTTACCTTAATGTTTGGGCTAAACATGAGGATTTAATGAGACTTATCGTGGATAATTGGAAATGTGAGGAGGTTGGGAATGCTTGGTTTATACTTTGGAAATTGCATAAGAAGGTGGCTTCTACACTCAGATCTTGGAATTGGAATCTTTTTGGTGATGTTCATGCCAGAGTTAGGAGAGTTCATGCATGGGAAATACTGTCATTCCTCCCTTCCTTCTTTGGCTAGGTGGCAATTAGGTGATTCTACTATGTGGAAGAGGTTTCTTCTTATTAGAGATTGGGCCAAGAACTACCTTTACTGGGAGTTGGGTGATGGTAGTATTTCTTTCTGGCATGATTGTTGGTCTCATGTTGTGCTTGAGCTGAGAGACCTCAGTCTCACCAACCTTAAGGTGTCGGGTGCTTGGGTGGATGGACATTGGAACATCCCTTTATTAATAAACATTCTGGGAACGGAGGGAGCAAACTTTATTTCCACTATTCCCTTTGATCAGCAACTACATGACACTCCGAAAATGAAAACTCCTTTAAATCATTCCATTACTAAGTTTGTATTCTCCTCTCTTCATAATTTCCAGATGCTCCCATGGGGGGAGGGTGTGTTGAGTTGGGCGTTAACTCCATCTATGCCTTTTTTGGCTTGGCGGATTTTCCATGTTATCATTCCTTGTGATGATATTCTCAAATTAAAAGGTTTGAGACTTGCTTCTAGATGTTGTTTTTTCCATGAGGCTGAGGACACCATTGAGCACACTTTCTTCTCATGTTCTTTTTCTATGTTTATTTGGCATAAGGTTGGATTGTGGTTTTACACCATCGTAACTCCTAAGCGCAATTCATTACTTCTATTGCATGCAATCCTGATGGAAAGAAAAAGTATTTCTTGCAAATTTATCTCTTTATTATTTGTTGGTTCATTTGGATTGCCCGGAATGATATTATTCATGCTAGCAATGACATTTGATGTAGGACGGTCTTCACTAATATCATTGCTTACATTAATAAATTGTGGAGGCTTGGAAACAATAAGAAGAGTTTTTTTTCCGGTATAAATTATTTTCTTTCCTTGAATAACACTAGTATGAATGATGTTAGGCTCCCTATTAGAACTGTTTTGGTCAGGTGGAGACCTCCTCCCAGGGGTTGGATTAAATTTAACACGGATGGGAGCTGGAAACCTGATAGTGCTGGTTGTGGGGGTGTGGCTAGGAATGATACAGGAAATTGCATTCTCTTTTTCTCCTCCCCTTCTTGCGTAGATTCTATTCTCTTTTTCTTCTCCCCTTCTTGCGTAGATTCTCCTTTAGAAGCTGAGGCTCGGGCTGTTTTGTTGGTAGTTATTCTGGCTGCTCATCTTTCCTGGAATAATCTCATTGTTAAAAGTGATAATCAATTTTTTATGGACATTTCACAAAGGGTTTGGAGCCCCTTGGGATGTTCTTTATTATATCAAGAGAATTAAAAGTTTGACCTCCAATATGAATTTGGTGTGGAGTTTCATTTTTGGAGAAGGCAATCAACCAGCTAACTGGCTAGCTACTTTAGGTAGTGCCACAAATGTCTGTCAGGTGGGATCCCCCCCCTCTTCATACGTTATTAGTTGGGAGACAACATCGATGCCCCTTATGTTCGTAGGGAAGCGTGATATTTGTTGTTTGATGAAGGTTTCACTATCAGCTTTGAACCTTCGGGGAATTGATATTTTCTTCTCTTATTTTTCTTACTTTTTTCACTATTGCTTGGAACTTCACACA